AGCAGAAGAAAGACTGAGGAGATATGACTTCTGATCTGAGTTTTTACAGGTAATCAAATGAACTTTCAGGACCAGTCTTGTTATAAGAAGCTGACACACCAACTCAAGGCAATAACAATTTGGGGTCTTAGCCCAGAATTCGTCTCAAGGAGTAAAAATTATCCTTGAAGACTGAGGTTCAGTTGTGAAACGCAAATGCCTTAACCAACTCGGTCTCTTTTTTACTTCAGTTTGCTACACAGCAGCGTCCTTACTTGGATGCCTCCCAGTGGAATGCAGTGTGGTGAGTTTAGGACGCTGAAGATTCCCAAAAATCAGTTCCAAAAGTAAGGGTCTCTTGTAACCCCGATGAAAACACCGTCCTCTTCACAGCTATTTTTTAAGGCTGAGAATTGCCCTGCAGCAGAGAACCCGCTCCCGAGTCCTTCCCCCTAATTCAACACCCTCTTGAGGCACAAAACACGGAACTCAGAGGCAAGAGATGAAACCTTAGGCTTTCAGTGTCATGAAAACTATCATAAGGAACTTAGAGATAACGATATTTAGAGAAGTAGCAGTGCCTGCGGCCAGAGATCAGAAGCCAGAGTGCCCTCAAAAAAGAGGGGGAGTCTCCACACCAAACCAGCTATTTGCAGACGAAATGGGGAAATTCCTTGTTAGTCATCTCCTCAGAGGACTGCTGCAGTTAGAGCTTACTGTGAAAAACATAGTAAGAAAAAATACTGCTCGGCATGGAAAGGGAAGAAGTTTCTTTAGATAAAACTAACAGGCACCATCAATGCTACTGTTTGACCAAGATGAGTAACAACAGAATAGCAGTTCAGCAGCACAAGTTGGAAGCCCCCTACATTGCTGATGGGACCATAAAATGAGCAGCTACTTTGGAAACCAGTTCGGCAGTCCCTCAAAATGTTAGAGTCACCACATGACCCAGCAACTAATCGTTTGAGATACCCAAGAGAACTGAAAGCGCACGTTCACACATAAACTTGTACCCAAATGTTCACAGCTGCTTATCCACAAGAGCCAAAAAGTAGAAACAATCCAAATGTAATCCAAAAGTTCATCAACTGGTAAAGGAATAAACAAAATGTGGTATTGCCATGAAGCCTTAAAAAGAAATGCTGACACATGCTACAACATGGATGAACTCTGAAGACCTTATGCTGAATGAAACAAGCTAGACACAAAAGGACAAATATTGTATGACTGAATTCATATGAGGTACCCAGAGTAGTCAAAATCAGAGACACAAAATAGAATGGTGGCTGCCAGGGGCAGAGGGAGGAAAGAATGAGTTACTGTTTAAAGGGCACATAACCCTGGGTGGGGAGTTCAGTTGGGAAGAGTATGATCCCAAAACACCAAGGTTGCGGGTTTGATCCCTAGTCAAGGCACATACAAGAGGCAACCAATGAATGCATAAATAAGTGGAACAACAAATCGATGTTCCTCTCTCTCTTTAAAATCAATGAAAAAAATTTAATTTAAAAATAAAATAAATAAAGGGTACAGTTTTAATCTGTGAAGATGGAAAAGTTCTGGAGATGGATGGTGGTGATGGCTGCACAACAATGTGAATACTTAAGGCCTTCAGAGGCCCTGGTGCATTATTGAACTATATACTTAACACTGATAAATTCTGTAATGTGTATTTCACAAAGAAAAATACAACTAAAAAAAAATAGGAATGACATACCGACACATGCCACAACATGGGTGAACATATCTTTAGTGAAAGAAGCCAGACACAAAGGCTGATGCTGTATGATTCCACCTATAAGAAATGTCCAGCATAGGCAAATCCACAGAGACAGAAAGTAGATTCGTGGTCAGGGATGGAGGCGGAGGGTGGGGAAGGTAGTGACTGCTAATGGGTACAGGGTTTCTTTTTGAGGTAATGAACATGTTCTGAAATGAAGTAACGGTAATGGTCACATTACTCTGTGAGTATCCAAAAAACCACACACTGAATTGTACAATGTAAAAGGGGAAATGTTGTGGTATATGAATTATAGCATCACAAAACTATTATTGTTTAAAAGTTCGGCAGCACAAAAAGAAACGAGCGTTACCCTGCTCTGGAACACTTACCTCGGGGAAAGGCTGCTGGAGGTGGTCCCACTTCAGAAGCTTCAGGTACGCGTGGTTCTGGACAGCAACAGGACTAGGCGTGGGACTGTCCCCCGAGCCGGCGGCCCCTCCCCCAGCTGGCAGGGCATTTTTATACGTCTGATGCATAAGGTCATCTGCGGCTTCTCCCAACCACTGGGTGACAAAGTCCAGGGAATCTGAAACACAAGGCTGTGGGCATTACTGTAACCATCAGGAGGGATGCTTCTTGGAATTACCTTTGGGAAGGCCATCCTGGAGGTGTGGCAGAGTACAGAGAATGGACTTTGGAATCAAATAGAACTTGGTCCAAATCACAGTATCACTAATTACTGGCTGAGTGATCTTAGGCAAGTCATAATCTGTCTGAACATCAGACTCCTAAAATAAGGAAGTGTGCATCACGTGACAGTCTGCTGTGCGGATGATTGTGCCTATAAAGCACCTAGCCTGGCCTTGCCACCTACCGATGGTCAATTAACCGCTCTCTTCTCTCCCACCCTGGCTTTTCCTTGTCTAGATCTTAGTCTCGGATCAAGCTGGTTCACCATCAGCCTTGCGGGAGGTGAGCTTTGTCACACATTTGATGTGTATTATACAGCGTTTGGAGCACTGTCTTTCATCCACTATCACCCTCTCCCTACTTTTCTAAGTAGAGTAAGGCACCAGGGGCTCTGAAGGACACAAGAGAAAGAAAATGAGGCTCCTGCCACATTATCTGAGCAAGAAATCCGTCTGGCAGGTCCGGGAACGGGGCTCAGCTCTGCCAGTGGAGTCCATCTGAAAGCCCGTGGGCAGCCAAGGCCAGGGCTGGAGTTCACTCTTGGTTGATGCAGGAGGACACACCTCTGCTTCTGTCAACACAGGGATCACACGGAGCTCTTGGTTCTGACTTCGCTCTTGCTTTAGCCTTCCTCTGCCAACAGCATTCTCCAGGCCCAGCAGCTTGGGGAAACCTTAGCTTTTATGCTGTGAATATTAAGTTCTAGACTCTAGTTCAGCAGTGTGCCCTTGGCGGGGTCCTGGCTGCCGGACCCGGCTCTCACACTAAGTCTCTTCCGCCAGTCAGACTGCAACCCTGCATGTCTCCTGAGAGGCAGGACAACATGGATGAGGAAGTGAGCTGTGTGGTCAATCAATTCTAGCCAAAAATCTCTCAACTCTATGTCCACATCTATAAAATGAGGTTAAAATACAGGGCCCACCTCAGAGGCTTAGTGTGGGAGGGTTATACTTGATAATGCACGTACACCCTGGGCACAAGCCTGGGCCGGAACGAACATCAACCAGTCTTCCTCTGGCCTGATATTTCTCTGCTCTGTCCTCCTCCTCCTGGCCCAGCACCACCCCAAACCAACGTCTCTGTCTGGGGCTGGGTGAACACCTGCTCGGGCTGAATGAACTATTCTGGTCCGGCAACACGATCCATGCCGAGGCAGGCACTTTCACTTGGTGACCAGCACGGTTCCAGGTTAAACGGGACTAGGCTTAAAATAGATCTGAAGATTGCGATTCACCCCGACAATAGCTGCGAATATAGAGACCCACAAGTCACCTCGAAATGCAACATAATTTTGGATTCTATAGTCATCTGTTTTCCTGCAGTTGTCTGAGAGGTTCATAAAAGTAAGACTTTTCTGGGTCTGAAGACAGATTTATGAATATGAAACAGAAGCAAAGTGGAATTTCTTGATGTACCTCACAGGGAGGAGAAAAGTGAATCCAACAGTCACAAGAAGTTTGTCATGTTTGTTTCATTTTTTAATTTAATTTTATTTTTTATTTCAAAGAGGAAAGGAGAGGGAGAGAGAGATACCAACATCAATGATGAGAGAGAATAACTGACTGGCTGCCTCCTGCAAGCCCCACACGGGGGACCCAGTCCGAACCCCAGGCGTATGCCCTGACCAGGAATCGAACTATGACCTCCTGGTTCATAGGTTGATGCTAAACCACTGCGCCATGCTGGCTGGGCTGTCAGGTTTTAAAATCAAGGCCAAGCATAAAATTTATCTCAAATTGGTGTCATCATTAAAAAACTATTTCAGATCATCAATCTTTTGCTATGGGGGGGAAAAAAGTGGAACAACTGTAATAATCTGAACAATAAAGATTTAATTTTTAAAAAACCACCATTCTTTCAATTTTCTATTCTTTTCTTTAATCCTTACTCAAGAATGTGTTTTTTTATTGATTTGAGAGAGAGAAACTTCAGTTGCCTCCCATATGTGCTTGGACCGGGGATTAAACTCACAACCTGGGTAAGTGCCCTGACCAGGAATCAAACATGTCACCTTTCGGTGCAGAGGATGATGCTCCATCCAACTGAACCACACTGGCCAAGGCTCAAATTTGTATTTTTATATCCTACTTATATTTCTCTTGTTTGTCAATTAAACTTTCTTTTCAAGTACTAATGTCTGTGCTTTTCTGTCTTCAAATAAGACTATTCTCACACTAAAGTTTTGTTTTGAAAATAATATTGTTATGCAACAAGCTACAGCAACTAAAATTAAAAAAAACAGACAACAAAAGAACATCCCAAAACATTTAAACATACTTGGCTGCTTCTCCAAAAGCTCTTGAAACTTCTTCCTTTCGTATTCAACTGACTGCTGCATGAGATGTGGCCTGATGCTACTGACAGCAAAGTTCGCCATGTCCACTTTCATCAGGTCCAACACAGAAAAAATTGCCCTAAAAGAGGAGAGCAAAGGATTTAGAACTGGACACTTGTAAAGTAAACATAGTTTTAACAAAAAGAGGTGATCTGAGACAGTCTTTTCATCTCACAAAGGTTGGCAAGAAAAGTTAGAAAAATCATGAGAAAGTGAATTAAGAAAAACACATTTAGAAAACACAAAAGCTTAAGTAATAGTTTGAAAAGACTGCAAATTTTTAAGCTGCTTTCTGTCCCCACCCTTTTACCCCTTGCCCCCAAGCAAACATAGCTCTCCCCACTGCCTGTCTAGACCGGAATGCATTCCTTGGCTTTGGGGCAGCCCTCACAGAAGCCGCAGAGGAAGGAAGGAGCCCAAGATTCGAGGTTAAGGGCAAAGACCTCATCACCCAGTAGCTACTCTCACACAGGTTAATGCACGTTCCTAGGAGAGAACGGAAATGAACTCTCCTCTCTCCTCTCCTCCTACCTCAGTGTCTCACTTCAGGGCATGCTTTACATTCTAGTTCTGGTGGCAGAACTGCTGTTTCATTCTCCGAATGTACCCAGTGAGCAGACTTGACACAGTCATCCCATCTTAAGAACCTATCTTTAGGAAATAACCTAAAATACAGGTAAAAGTTTTGTGCACAAAGATGTTCATTGCTGGGTTAAATAGTAAATAATTATGCATAATCTAATTGTCGATTTTCACACACACACAAAAACCTTAATGATATGCAAATATTTTGCAGCTATTGAAAATGCTAATAGGGAGTTTTTTAAAAATCATATAAGTTGGTTATAAAAGGGCAATGCAAGAGATCCTTGTGGTGTTAAAACTGTTTAGTAGATTAAAGGTGGTGGCAAATACACAAATTCACACAGATAATAAAATCATATAAAAATACATAAACACACAAATATATATACAAATAAATCAGGAAACCCAAGTGAGAGTAGTAGATTGTATCAATGTCAATATTCTGGTTGCAATACACTACATTTTACAAAATGTTACCATTGAGGGAAAACTGGGTAAAGTGTGCTATATTATTTCTCACAACTCCATGTGAATATACAATATCTCAATGACACTTTAAATTTCCAGAGACATGGAAGCATGGAACAGATGCAGAATCTCAGAGGGAAGGTGGGGTAGAGTAGGTGGGTGGGGGGTAATCAACCGAAGACCTTATGTTCATATATGCATAACCCATGGACACAGACAATAGGGTGCTGAAGGCCTAGGGCGGGGAGCAGGGGCAGGCTAGAGGGGGTCAGTGGGGGAAAAGGGGGGACATATGTAATACTTTCAACAATAAAGAATTATTTTTTAAAAATAAGTGAAATGATTAGGGTATAATGTTAACAGAAAAAGTCAGGTCTGCAATGCCCACTAAGTCTCCTCAGGTTCAACTGAATATTCAGACTCACAAGACTATCCTAAGCCACAGCCTTGGCACCATCTAGTCACACAGCTTGCCAACAGGGCAGCTCCAAACATTCCTCTTCAACAAGAGTTACAGTACCAGCCACAAGCACACAACTCAGGCATGTGGGAGCCACCTGGCTTAAAAGCCTCAGGTAAGAAAATATTTTTTTTAAATTTATTTTATTGTTTAAAGTATTACAAATAGTAGTACATATGTCTCCTTTTTTTCACCATTGACCTTCCCCTGGC